AAGGGTGAAACCGGGTTTAAAGAAAGGGGCAATACCTACAGTATTTGTCCATGAGAATCTAATTTCTCAAAGTGCTCAAAATATTAATAGTACTAGAGTATCTAATTTACAATGTCAGACAGAAACATTTAGAAGGGAATTATTCAGACAAGAGGTATCATTTAAAACTAATATATTTTTATGCTTAATTTTTATGAAACAAAATATGTTAACTCTCAAATGTTTATGATATAAATTAAAGGTTGTACAAGATAAACAAATTAATTCCCAAACATTTGCTACAGAACTAGACAATGAAGAAATATGTTCGAGTAAACGATTACGTTTAACCTGTTATAAAGTAAACATTTTATTTAATTTGTTTAGAAAATATGTATTGTGAGGATAAATATTTTTGTTAATCTAGGAGTATGACAATTTTTCAAACTTTAAATATAATATAATTGAGAATATGACATTACCAGTAGGATGGAATTTATACAAAAATGAAACAACTATAATTTTATACAAACCTTTGATTAAGAACTTCAACATTGAAGAAAACAAGGAACAATTAGTAATTAAAAAACAGATAGTTTTCAAAGATGATTTATCAATTGACTTTTATGTCAATAAGTTTTGTATTCAACATGAAAGTATAGGAATGATTAAAATAACATATCCTATTACCATAGAATGTATAGAACAGGCAATAATTGCTTTTGATTGGAAATTGACATGTCAAGGTGGACCTAAACCTATTGATTATCCCGGTACCTAATTATAACAATACATTTTATATATTGTATACTAACTTAACTTTTAGTTCTTGGTGAAAAAATCTAACACAACTGATTTTATGTTTAGGAATACATAATATGAAAAATGCTAATCTTGAAAGCAACTTTTGGCGCCACATTAAATGTCCAATCCTAATAGATGAAAAAAAAAGATGTCATTATTGTAATACATTGTTTTCTTACTTAAGACGCCGCAAATGTAGGTCTTTGATTACTAAAAAAAAATATATAGGTTCTACACTGACTCCAACACGTCGCAGTGTGTTGAATAAAATTATGAAAAAAAAAAAATATTTACAAAAATGTAATTTAAGGTAAAATTTTTAGTAAAAATTATAGTGAAATTATATTACACAATATCAGATAGTTATAAATTATAATGTAATATTGTTATTATATTAATTGTTATAAAATGCATTTTAGATTTCAAACAAAAATATCAAAATTAAACACTGAATTAGAACAGTCCCATGCCAAAATTAAAAATATGTCTATCTCTTCTATAAATGAGTTATTAGATTCAAAAAATTTGAATGATCCACAGAAATTAATTATCAAAGAAATAATTAATACAAGTAGAGCGACGATCCCAAATAATAAACGTTACAGTGAAGACTGGATTTTATTATGTATTTTATTAAGGATTCGGTAATAATTATTCCATATTGAGTTAAATATATAAACTAATGAAAGGTAATTAAATTTATATAGGTCACCTTCTACATATACATTTTTAAAACAACAAGATATTTTACCTTTGCCTTCTGTACGTACCACACGTAAATACTTATCACTTGTTAATACACAATGTGGATTTGACAAACAATTTTTCCAATTATTAAAAAAGAAATTTAGCATGCTTACTTCCAACCAAAAGCAAGGCATGTTAATTTTCGATGAAATATGCGTACGAGAAAGTATTAGTGTAAATTCTAAAACTTTAAAATACTCTGGATTAGAAGATTTTGGTGAAGATGTGCAAAGTTCAGGGTTAAAAGCCAATCATTGTTTAGTCTTTATATTTCAGAGCTTAGCTGCAAATATCTCCCAGCCAATAGCAGTATTTGCTTCTAGGGGTCCTGTAAAAGGTAATATATTACTTAGTATATTTGTTGTAATTTGTCAATTTGTCATAACATTGTACCTAATACATAAAAATATTTAATAATAATCTAACTCAATTTATGTTTTGTGTTTTCTATGTTTTGTTCTCCATATTCTCATGCAATTTAACATTTTGAGGCCTGTGTTTTGGGTATTGCATGCTGATGTTTCAAGAAACATTTGATACGTGTTAAATAAATGATTTATAATTTATTTTATAAATCTACTGTATTCATAATATTCTAAGGTACATTTGACTATGCATAAATTAGTCCATGTTCTATAATTAATATTTGATAATAACATGCAGTAAGTTATTTTATAATGCAAAATATATGTTTTAATAATATTTAATTTATTATTTGATTTTTAATGTAAATCATGATTAATACTCAGTTTCAAATAATTATGATAGGTATAGTTCTTGCTCAACTCGTCATAAAAGCGATTTGCCTTCTGGAAGGTATTGGTGCAATTGTCAATGGTGTGGTTTCTGATGGAGCATCGACTAACAGAAAACTTTGGGCTGAACTGGGAGTTAGTGGTCAAAAGGGTAAAGTAAAAAATTTTTTTGAACATCCTCTGAAAAACAATAAAAAGGTATACATGTTTTCTGATGCACCTCATCTAATAAAAAATGTCAGAAATAGGTTGTACAACAAAAAGAGTTTAAGAGTAAGTACTATACTAAGAGTAAAATAACTGAACACAAAACACATCAAACCTTTTGCATTTAAATATAATATATTATAATATATTTAGGAGTCACCAGAAAAGCCTTTTATTAGATGGTCACATTTCGAAGAAGTATATATGAATGATATAACAAGAAATTCAAACTCTCCAACCAAAGTATGCCCTAAAATAACTCCAAGACATATAGCTCCAGACAATTTTGCTAAAATGAGTGTGAAACTAGCCACTCAAGTAACTAAACAAAATATTTATATTTTTCAGACATTATTGTAGAATTGTAGATGATAAATTATACAAATTTAACAAATTATATTGCAGATATTCAGTGATTCCATGGCTAAGGGTATTCAGTTTTATAGGGAATACATTAAGATTGATTCATTAAAAAACAGTTATGAAACGCAAAAATTTACTGAAAGATTAAATTTATTGTTTGACATTTTGAATCGAAAATACCCAGCTGAAGGGATTAAAAAAAATAGCAATGACTTTAAAGTAGGCAAATATGCCAAGTTTACTATAAATGTAATTATAATTCATAATCAATCCTATAATTATGTTTCATAGGTCTTAGAAGATACCATTGCATGGCTTGATTCTTGGGAAGATCAAGTTGACAAACATGGTATAACAGAAGATGAATTTTTAACACGATCAACAGCTGAGGGATTAAGAGTCACGATACAATCAACATTGGATCTTTGTAAATACCTTTTAGATGAATGTGGTTTTAAGTATATATTAACATATAAAATGAATCAGGACCGTTTGGAAGTAAAAAAGAATATTTAACTACTCATCTAATAAATAATTTCATAAAAATTTTTTTTTTTAATTACATAGCAATTTTTTGGTACTGCGAGGCAAGCAATAGGTCCGAATGATCACCCATGTACACCAACATTCCTTCAAGTTTACAAAATGTTGGCTGTCTATTCCATTCTGAAGCCTCCAAAAAGTGGAAATTGTTCAATTTTAAATTCGGAAACTCCTAAAATTACCATTACTGATTTAAAAACCATTTTTAATACTAATAGCATCACAGAAAAAGAAAAAAAGATTGAGAACTTGCGTAAAACATTAGACTCCTATGTCACAGTAGGTTTGGAAGTAGAAGATGTATTTGATACTAATGATCATAATTATTTTAAAGCTGACACAGAAACCTGTGTTTTATATTATATATGTGGATACATAACTAGATACTTCATGAAGCATATAAACTGTAAGGTTTGTCAGAAAGCAATAGTTGGTAAGTATAATTTAAATTAACATAGGTAGGTACCCTTTAAAACTGATCAATCTAAGTCTAAAGTAAAGTTTCTAATTTTTCAGGCACAACAGATTTTTGTGATAGGCCGGAATCAGTACTGACAAATTTAAAATCAAGAGGGACATTAACTCACCCAAACAAGATTTTATTTTCTTTAATTACCGAAATGGAAAAATCATTTTCTAAATTTTGTGACTACAGCGATGCTTTTAATTTGACGGTTGATGATTTCTTTGCACACACATTAAAAAGCATTAAGTGGCCTTGTAGTCAACACAAGTGTGACACGTTAGCATCAATTTTGTCCTATTATGTTACTATGCGAATGCGGCAGTATACACAAGTAGTTAATAAAAATGTTGCAAAAGTGAATGCTAAAAAGAAGAAATGCTCTAAACTTACAGTCTCATAAATATTAAACCTCGCATAGTATTAAAAAAAATTCATAAATATTAGATATTAAGATATTTTAATTTACCTATTGTTTTTTGTTTCCTGTTTATAATTTATTATCAAATTTCGAAAATGTATACTATCATTAACATTATATAAAATGAGTAATATATTTGATTGGTAGAGTGCGCCAAGAACTGATGTGTACTTTTTTTGAGTCTATTGGGTTCCCTGTGATATTAAGTCGTTTCCAGTCCTGTATATCTTAGTTCGTGGTTTAAACCACTGAATAACCGACTAATGGATTGATGGAGACTATTCTAACTTAGCACGTGTTATAAACACAGGTATTATATTATGTACCTATAAAAATAGGTATATAATACCTTTAATAATATTACCTTGTAATAGCACTGACTATATGAAAACAGATGGCTCACTCGGGAAGTAAACAAAAACTATGAATATTATCACCGTGACCAAATCAGTGTGACCACAGTGCGGGCATAAAATTTCGTTTGGTCCATGACAAAAAAATTACGCGATTGCTACCTGCCGCCAACATTGAAATTCATACTAATTACCCTTTTATTCTATTAGGATCTGACCTTTTACATCCCTTAGAAGTTAGGTTATCTTGGCCTCTAGTTGCTGTTTGTACCATTTCCACATGTGACTTATTAGTTGACCACTGACCAAGTATGTAAGTTACTTAATTTTCAGTATACAATTTAGTTGTACTTTTTAATTTTAAAATGGATAGTAAAAAAATAGGAATGCGTTGCTATGTACAATTTTGCAAAAGTAAAGCAAGTACTAGGAATATAAGTTTCTTCCAATATCCAAAAGACGATCGTCTAGCATTATGGACAAAAAATTGTGGTACAGAAAATTTTACTGAAGGACTATCAAAAAAAAAAAAAAATAGCTATAAAGTATGTGGCGATCACTTTGTAGATTCAATGTTTTTGAACTCCACAACAAAGAACCGACTAGTTTTCAATGCTATTCCAACAATATTTAATGGTAAGTAAATAATAAAATTATTAAAACATGTTTAAAAATTATACAAATAATTTGGTTTTGAATAGAGTAATTTTTGGTTTAATAATTTAATTTTAATTTTAGTTACATTTTTTAGATGAAATGATGTTTGAAAGAATAAAATTGGCCAAATTACAGTTGAAAACCAATGTAGATCCACAGTATTTTGATGATAATTCAAAAGACCAGGGTGATTCCAGCCACTGAAGGATTAAGAATAGTAGTAATAGAGCCCACTCTTTTCTGGCCTTTTGGAGTAATAATTTTGCCTGTACTGTACTAATCCCTGTCTCATCCATATTATAAATATTATGACGCGGCTACGGCGATATAGTGTGTCACGGTGAGCCGGTCTGGAGGTGAGGTTTGATAAAAAAAAAAGGAAACAACACGCAATTTGACGATCACGGTAGTGAAAATAACACGTTTAATAGTGTATATGAAATAAAATGGTCGAACACGAAACAATATCTGTGGTACAAGTAAAGTGTATGTATATTTTTGGTGTGGTTGGAGACGGTGGCNGCAGTTTACATTATTTGGTTTGCCATTCGTATATTTTGATGTTACTAAACCGGAAACAATCCAGCCCAATTGAGTTTCTTGAAATATTGGTCCATTTATTGTCGGTTTAATTTTTTGTTTGCCCAATATTTCGAAAAAATGACACGCGCCTAACAACAAATCAATTTTTTTTGGAATTTTGAATGAAGTATCCGCTAATTCTATATCCGAAGGTACTATGCATTCACCTCCGATATTTTCTGGCGGTAATATATTTGTAATTTTAGGCACAACTAAACAGGAACAAGTTAAATTATAATTATTAATGCGCGAACGAATCGTCACTACGACAGCCGCCTTCACGTTTTGACTTTTGCCGCCAATGCCCAATACGGTATGCTGTACGCGCGTCTTTTTTAATTTTAATATTTGTGCCATACTTTCGGTTATAAAATTGCATTGTGAGCCTGAATCTAACAATACACGTCCTATTTGCGATTCGCCATTCTCGTTTTGAACTCGTACCTCCGCCGTTGCCAATAATACCTGGTCACTCGAGCTAGCCGCTACGTGTACACTAACCGCTGCTGTCGTTTCTTGATCTTCAGACGGTTTTTCTGCTTCCGACTTTCTTAACTCTGAACTATTACCAAGATGTAGCATTGTGTTATGCGGTTTAGAACAAGTAAAACAATTCTTACCGTTACACTTTTTCGGTACGTGCTGTCGTAAACACACTTTACATAATTTCATTTCGGCTACTCTTTTTATTCTTTCTGTCACTGGCAACGCGATAAATATCGGACATTTGTAAATGGTATGGGGCGCTTGACAAATATAGCAACCTTTATTATTTCCTATAACTAGTGTTAACTACTCTTAGCAGCTAACAGTGGAATAATTAATAAACACTTTTAATTATAAAGACTTTTAAACACACTTTATTTGTAATAATAATAATAATTACCGGTCTGGCCTCAGGACAACCCGATCGAGAACGCTCTCTGATGCGGGTCTCCAACCAACTACCATACCGTACACTTATCTCTTACATATACATAAATCTGGGAGAGGTGGGAGGAAAAGACCCAACCATACCGAGCACCTCTTATGGAGTATTTAACACTCGGCCCCCCTGACAAACCTATGTCCTCATAGGACCTTACTTAATTTTATACATAATTAACAAAAGAAATACAACAACCTCAACCTAACAGTCTTAAGAGGACGCCACACACCCGAAATATTTTACCGAAAATACGTTTCACGCGGGATCACTGTTTGAAGCGTGTGGTAATAGTATGAATACCAAATTTTCACACTGTTTAGATCAGAAGTTTACCCGTGTCATAGCGTCGATTTTTTTTCTAAAACTTAACTCAATTTTTTTTTTTTTAATTTTTAAAAACATAAAAAAAAACTAATTTTCAAAACCTTATTGTGACAAAACTAATTAAGATATCGGAAAAAAAACGACGCTATGACACAGATAAACTTCTGATCTATACAGTGTGAAAATTTGGTGTTCATACTATTACCACACGTCTCAAACACTGATCCCGCGTGAAATGTGTTTTCTTTGAACATTTTATAAAACCGTAGTTTTCGTCGTCTACAGCAGTGCTGCGACAACCCGTGGCATTTCGGTGAACAAGATTTTCCCCCCACCATACATATATGATCATATCGTTATCGGCCCGGTTCCCGACGCGCGACGTCTGGGCTTCCGTCGTCGATTCCAAGAATAACCCGAAATCCGAATAGAATATTAATATAGACAAATTCTAATATTCTATAAACGATTATAGTAGGTATTTGATCAGATAATCAACTAAACTGTTGTCCAGTCTGCCATTAACTTATCGTATAATTTTGAGGTTTGTGATTTGTATATTTTGTAAAGTGTTTTTCAATAACGTAAAACATTCTGTTACACAATCACAATATTTACGATGTCCCCCAAAAAAAATAGAGCTTTTAAAAGATGTACGGGAAAAGTAGCATTATCTACGCGTATGAAAAAAGTTCGTGGAGGCAATCACCAAAACCTACTGCAGTAAGTATATAAATATTATAATATAATAAAGTATACCTACCAATAATAAAATAAATATCAATAGTATTTAAAACAGGAACTCGTTCTGATGTATAGTAGCCAGTAGGTGTTGAGTATAGGATAAATAATTTGTATATGTAGAAATAATTACGCAACTATTTTTCATTTATTTAGAAAAGAATCGACAGATGCTGCAAATATTGTAAAAAATTTTAATACGGGAATAGAAGATTTGTCTTCTAATGGCATACTAGTTTCTAGGTAAGTGCAAATAGAAATATATATAGATATATTTTATTGACATTTGAAATTTGAATTTTAGATTGCGAGCGATGCGAGGAATGTATTGTTTTTACAATGATATATTGTGTGTTTTTTAATTAATTAATTTAATTTGTTTGTGTCTGTCATCACATTCGGGACAGTTAAAGTACTCAGATTTTCTTCATCAGCATCTTTTCTGGTAGAAAAGTGAATCTATTTGGTACTTTGGGGAGTCAAAAGTAACAAATTTTCTATATAAACGCGCCGGGAAAAAAAAAAATTAAGAAAAAACGGGAATTTTTGGAAAAATCGATTTGTCTTTTTGGTGTAATACAAAAATAACTTAGATATATGTAATTTTCACTTAATATTTATATTTTCAATCTCAATACACCATAAAATTTTCAAAATATTTCGACGTTTTTTGAGCAATTAATAAGCATAATTCATTTTCGTTTTTTTTTTTATTATTGCTGATAAACATTTTTTCAGACAGCCAAAAACTTGTGACGGTAATCCAAGTTTCTTCATGATTTGTTATAAGTGAACATTTAAAAAAAGATTGAGCGTAAATATTTTATTGTTTTTTATAAGCCTCTAAAGTTAGACATCTGATAAAAAAAAGGTAAAAATCGCGAAATTTCGGAGTTTTATTTATTTAAAAATTCATGAATTTCGCTCAGAATCTAAATGTCGTTGGGTTAATTTTTTTGAAAATTTAATACAAGAGTCCTCACAAGTTGTTTATATAGCACATCAAAAATAATACAAATGTATAGGCACAATTTTTTTTATAAATTTTTTAATTTTCAAACTTTTACCGAAATTCCTCATTGAACATTTGCAAATTGTTTTGTAGTTAAAAATTTACAAAATGTTCAGTTTTTAATTTATATATTCAAGAATTTAAAATTGAGTTCAAGGTTTTTCGTAAAAAGTTCAAATAGTGTAAACACAAAATCAAAAAAATATATTTAAATTATAATTTATCATAGACATTTTAAGTTAAAATTTGGACGTCAAAATATCGAACATTTGCAAATCGTTTTGTAGTTAAAAATATATAAAATATCCTAGACTGACAATCCGTCTCCGCTCAGAATCGTTTTTCGTATACAATCATATATATCGTTGAATTCAAATTTGTGATGAGCTTTTTACAAATTTAAAACTCAATAAAAACTATTTATTTACGAAATATCATTCGATTTTCGTTTATATTTAGGTATAGTTATCTCAATTTATTTAGAACTTTGTATTGAAATTTCAAACCATAATAGGTATCGATTAAAATCTAGAACTCACTCGGCTCACTGCTGTACAGTCAAGTTTGAGTGGACCAGGGACCTCGATTATAAAGATTAGGTCATTATAATGGATGTGTTAAATTGAGTTTATTGTGTTTATTTGAGTGTAATGATTTGATTGTATACGAAAAACGATTTGTCAGTTTATAGGATATTTTATTTATTTATTTTATATCTTAACCAGTTTGGAAGTAAATTGTTATTTTATGCGTTAATTTTTTTAATTTAAAATTCATTTTTTTTAAACTATGCTATGTAAAGAAAATGCCAATTTAAACGTGTTTTCTACGATAGTACTTATTGAATTTTTAGTGAATCAGTCAATGTAATTACTAGTACTCCAAATGATACGATTCGGCCATTTTCATCAAGTACAGATAACGAGTCCAGCTCATCATTTGGCACATCTTTATCTATGAATTCAATTATTGATCATGAACTATGTGTAGAATCAGATGAATCAATCAATACAATCGTTTCAGAGTATATTATACTATAATTATATACATTTTTAATAATTTTGTAAAAATAAATTAATAAATTAAATCAATTGTTTTTAGAAAACTAGAAGGAAGAAGAATTGTCGATATTTTGTATTTTATAAGTCAAATACAAAAGAAACATAATATTGGATTCGATTGCTCATTTACAGATATGGAGTATCAGTCTGAAATTATAAAAGGCTTTCAATCTGTATTTTATTTTAAATGTAAAGTTTGTAATATTGTGGAGAAAATTTACACTGAAAATATGAATAAAACCAACACAGTAACAACTAACAATGCTGCTGTCAACGCGTGTCAAGCTATAGGTTTGTTATTTTAATTTATAATACGTTAGAATATTAGATTCATATATTAGAATACAGATTGTAATATCTATGTATTCGCATATCTACATACGGAGATAAGTACCTACACTGAATCATAAACTCGTATTTCATGGAATATTGTGTTTGTATTTGGCACATATTCCGCGGTCTGTACATTATATTTTATACTTATATGTAAATAGTTATGTAGATACATACATCAGCCATCAGGGGTTGAAACCGGGAAAACATTATCCGATTTCGGTTTCGGTTTCGAATATCATAGTATTTATTGAAATGCCTAATGTATCTATATTTTGTCATTTGTAGGCATTGGGCATACACAACTATCAGAATTTGTTTCATTTCTTGAAATACCCTCATTGTCATGTAGTAGTTTTATAAAAATACAGTGCTCTTTAGCTAAAACTATTTCGGATAGTGCATGGGAAGAGATGAGAATAGCCGGTGAGGAAGAAAAAGAACTCGCTATAAAATATGGTTATGTCGACACTGATGGTATTCCGATGTGTACAGTAGTGGCTGATGGACAATGGTCCAAACGAAGCTACAAAACTAACTATAATGCATCATCTGGAGTAGTACGTTTATTTACTAAATTCTTATTACAAATAATCATAACTATAATATAAAATAATTAACTCCGTAATAAACATACTATGTTTATAGGCAACAATAATCGGATATCAAACAAAAAAGGTTTTATTTATTGGAATTAGAAACAAATATTGTGTTATATGTCAAAAATCGATTATTAAAAAAGAAATTGCGCCAGAACATCTTTGCTTTTTAAATTGGAGAAAATCATCTACAAGTATGGAAGCAGATGGAGTTGTAGAAGGATTTTCAAAAAGTATAGAATTACACGGACTAAAATTTAATAAACTTATTGGTAAGCTGATAATTATAATAATGATCCATTTTGATGTGATATATGTATTTACTTTTTACACCTTAACTTATCAAACATATATTAACATTATTTATAGGAGATGGGGACAGCAGCGTTATGAAACGACTTCAGGAAATACAACCATATGGACCAAACTTTTTTATCGAAAAAATCGAATGTAAAAATCACTTGCTTAGGAATTATGCTACTAAACTTAACGCATTGTCTAAAGTTTCAAAATATCCGCTTCGTGTTCGTAAATTTATCATTACAAATATAATTCGATTTCGTTCTGACATTACAAAATCTGTAAAACATTGGATAGAAGATGATAAACTAACGAAGCTACAAAAAATTAAAGGTAAAAAAGGGTACCTAAATACATTTTATTTTTATCGCAATTTTAAACAATTATTATTATAATAACTAAAAAATGTAATTTTAGAAATTCAAAAGGATTTAGCCAATGCTCCCTTTCACCGGTTGGGTCAACATACAAATTGCGCCAGTTATTTTTGTGAACCTGGTACAAAAAACAATGAACTAAATCTAGTTCCAGAAGCCACAGGTAGTGGTATGATGGCAGAGATTCAAAATTGTGTATCGCGTTTAATTAGTAAAGCTTCTAGTTTACTAGAAAACAAAACAAATAACATATGCGAACAGTTTAACTCTGTAATAAATAAACATGTCGGTGGCAAACGAATCAACTTTTCTAGCCGAGGAAACTATACCACGAGAATAGAAGCAGCGGTTGTGGCATTCAATACAAAAGAATTCTTACGAAAAATCCACAAAAAAATGACTAACAATCACAGTCCAGGTAATAATACAAATAAAATATTAAACAGCGTGATTCTTTTATCAAACAACACACATTATTTCGAAAAGTATAATATATATTTTTGAAAATATTTTTATTAAATGTTTTCAAGTCATTATAAAACAATATTTTTTTACAAAAAAAGTTATTTTTTTTAAATACTTTTTTAATAAATGCATGTATTTTTATTATTTTTCGTAGGTTATTCGCGTGCACCGAAAAAACGGGGGAACACCTAATGTCTTACTTCAAACGCTTATAAAAATTTAGTTTGACTTTCCGGTAAAAATATTTTTTGTTAGAATGATAGAAAAACTTATGGAGAATCTCATATTAAATTTTCAAATCTTAGACTCAAACCAAACATTTTTTTATACATTTCTCAATAAAAAAAACTGTGAAACTTTGTGATTTTTACGTATTTTTTCAAATTTCTAACTTTATAGACGCTAATAACAAACAATCAAACATTTACGCTCAACTTTTTTTTAATTTTCACTTAAAACAAGTTATGGAAAATCTTGTATTAAATTTTCAAGTTTTTTGATGGAGCGAAAACATTTTTATCGACGTTAGCAAAAAATAAAATAAAAAAAACTAGAAAATGTATTATGCTTATAAATAGCTCAAAATTTTTTGAAAATTTGGTAGTGTATTGAAATTGCAAATATAAATATTTGGTGAAAATTTCACGTATCTACAGTTATTATTTTTTTGAGCTACACCAAAAAGAAAAATAGATTTTTCCAAAAAGTGCGTTGCGTAAAAATTTACGTTTTTTCCTTAATTTTTTGTTGGTTTTTCCTGCTGCGTTTAAAAAGTATTGACATTTTTTTACTATTGACCCCCTAAAGTACCAACTAGTTTCACTTTCCTATCAGAAAAGTTGCTTTGAATCTAAAATATTAAATAAATGAAAACTATTTTAAAGGTATAATTTTGAATTTTTTATTTAGGAAAATTTGGGAAAAAATATTTGAAGAATCACAGACGAAAGCTTTCTAACACCACGAAAAGACGACAACTATTTCCAGAACGCAGAAGTCATATGCATTATTCAAATAATGGGCCTGATGAAGATTATGGGTTGGCGGAACCTTTGGTCGATGATTTGTCACCGGAAATTGTTTTAGAAAAACAAAAAACATTTCTAATGTCACTAGAAACTGCAAATAAAATTGACATCGAGTTTAATACGCGAGAACAAAGCAATAGTCAAACGTGGTATAAAGAGCGTAGGATCAGATTAACTGCTTCTCGTTTTGGTCAAATATGCAAAATGAGGTGTAATACCAGTTGTAAAAATACAGTTTATAATGTATTATATGCATGTGAGGCGCAGGCGAAGTCTTTACAATACGGACGAGACATGGAGGCTATAGCTCGTACAGAAATGGAAAAATACATTAATAAAAAAATTCAAACATGTGGTTTACTGATAGATCCAATAATCCCCTATTTAGCGGCGAGTCCAGGTAACTATTATTTTGCAATTTAGTATTATTATAGGTAATTAATTCATCTCGAAAAATATGACCTAATATAAGTTTACATGTATAACGGTATTAACTATTAGATATTTATGTAAGTTAATGTTTACAACCAATGCTTAGATGGTTTGATAGAAGACAATGCCATTGTGGAGATTAAATGCCCTTTTTCTGCCAAGAATACTTTGAATGCAATTGATGCCGTTAAAAATAAACTTGTACGTATATTAATACAAAATATATAATATAATTTATTTATTATTGTTAATTTTATTTATTGTATTTTGTTTTAAATGTACAGCTACAATATTGTTACATAATGGATGGATCAATCAAATTAAAAGTAGACCATGTATATTACTACCAAATAATGGGGCAATTGCATATATCTCGAAGACAGAAGTGCTATTTTGTGATATATACTTCGAATTGGATGCACGTTGAAACAATTGAATATGACATCTCATTTTGGGAAAATAAAATGGTCAACAAATTGAAAAAGTTTGTTACATTATCATAATCTATAATTTATTATTTGTTGTGCCTAATGATTTTTTTTGTATTTTAGGTTTTATTTAGAATGTTTACTGCCGGAGATTGTCAATCCGTTATACCCTAAGCGTATGCTCAAGGCAGATATTAGAGAATCTGATAAAATAAAAAATATTATCTGTCAACCAAAAGAAAAAAAAAAGAAAAAAATGTAATGTTTTTTAGTACTAATAAATTACTAGTTACTAATTACTTTCTTTATTACTCATCTATTATTTGTTATGTTGTACATTTGTTTGAAAATTACAAAATACATTATAGGATGCGCGCGTGAATCGTATATTTGTAGAAACTAGAAAGGTAGGATCATATAAATACAAAATAGGTAAGATAGCTTTGATAAGTGCAAGATGCAACTGTATCATGTTTGAAAAATCCACAAAAGCTGGCATTTAAAAAATATATGCGGTTGCAGATACACCATACACACAAAATATAACTTATAAGTTAAAATATTGAATACATTTACTTACTAGAATACTAATATTTAGGTAACATTAGTTTAGACTTTAGGTTATTCTTATAAATTAGATATTATTAACTGTACAGTGTACCTGTGTACCTATTATATAAAATATTTTCGATGAAGTTAGTAATAATGCATTAATGCTAATGCAATAAAAACAAATAAGTTGGTACGTGCAGTTCCACGCCGCACGGATATACATGTATTATTTATATATTATATATAATATTAATATATTACGTACATATTATGTTTATATTTATGCCACCCGTCATACACGAAGGTTCGTAAAAGAATAAACATCGCTCCCGACTGAGCACAATCGAAAGCCGTCGAGCGACGAGCACTGGGCGAGCAGTGGGCGTGGCTTAAACGTCGCGTGCCTGCGCCGCTCTAAAACACCTAACAGCGCATTCTCTTGGTCATCGCATACGTTTTACTTTCGGTGTGGCGTCCTCTTAACTACATATGGTATAACAACCCCCAAAAAAAACAAATTAACAGCATTATAAATCATACATATAAACAACTTAATTAATTAATATTATAAATCATAAATATAAACCAACATAATTAATTAATATTATAAATCATAAATATAAACCAACATGGTTAGTTAATAACTTTCATTCGTAATCATCTAACTTCTTCGGTTTCCTCTTTAGTCGGGTGGACTTCCTCACTCCGGCTTCTTCTCCTTGGTCCTGTACTGTGTTCCCAACATCTGCTTCCTCAGCAATCTGTTCCGGCTCTTCCTCTTCTGTGATGTCCTCATTGGCATCAGAGGTCTCTACAAGCTTCCATGACTTCAACTGCGACACGTGTGCTGTTGTTGCATAGTGTCTTGCCCCATCTTCCGCCAGCTGTGAGACTCGATACACGTCATTTGGCAACACTTCTGTCACGACAAGAGGTCCACGATATCGCTCCTGTAGTTTAGTGGACATGCCCGTAGTGACTGGTGCTCTGGTCATCACTACTACTTCCCCAACTACATATTGTGTTTGGTTGTGACGATGCTTGTCGTAGGCTGTCTTAACCTTTTCCTTTTGTTTCACTATCTCATTTCGCGCATCTTCCCACAGTTCAGAGGGACATAGCCAATCTTCAGCGGTAGTCGATAGGTCACGCAACCTACCCAACTCGAATCGTGGTCGGTATCCATGCAGTAATTCAAATGGAGTATGTCTTGTTACTTTGGATTCACTGTTATTGATCTGACGTTGCACCTCTGACAACAACGTGTCCCACTGGTCTTCCTCTCCTGCTTTTGAAATCAACATGGCCAATATAACGCTGTTTATCCTCTCAACTTGACCATTCGCTTGAGGTCTTCTCGTAGAGTTCAATATGTGGGAGATACCACGAACCTCACAGAAGTTCTCAAAGCGCTTGGACGTAAAACAAGTTCCCCAGTCAGTAATCAACTTCTTGGGCAACCCGTACCTGTTCACAAATTTGTCCATCGCATACAATACTCCTTCGGTACTAGTGTCTGTCGCTGCAAACAAAGATACAAATTTAGTTAAGTTGTCCACTAACACCAATATGTACCTATTTCCTTCGGTGCTAGTTACAAAAGGTCCAATGTGGTCTCCATGGACAACTTCAAATGGTCTCCGTCCTGGTGGTATGGGATGTAAGACCCCTGGCTGCTTACCCCTCGGCTTCTTGGTCATCAGGCACTCCATACACATCCTTATGTGGAACTTCACGTATCTCCGGAGTCCCACAAACCAAAAGTCCTGTGTAATTTTACTAACGGTCTTGTCTACTGACAAGTGACCACCCAGGTCGTGAGCTGCTACTACAATACTTTTTCGCATGCTCTTTGGCATCACAAAAAGTTGTTTTCCCTGGTACGTTCTATACAGTAACTTACCCCTGAGACCGTATTCCTGTGCTATAGCTCGTTCGGCCTTCGTCCGGATGTTCTCTGGTTTTAGCATTATGGTCACTATGCGGCGCACCTCTTCATCAACTTGTTGTGCCATACGCACCTTGTCTTCCGTTTCTAACGTCATGCAAACGTCCAACCGTCCTGCTAACACTTCATCCAGCGTTTCACCTTCTTCATCTGAGATTGGGTCTATCGACAGAGCATCTACATGTGCCATCTTCGTGCCCGGACGATGGAATATATCAAAATTATATTCTTGTAGTACATCATACCACCTTGTAACTTGCGGCCGTGTAGCTTTATGCGTCCTTAAATAAACTAACGCCTGACAGTCTGTTATAATTGAAAACTTTATCCCTAGGAGAAAATGTCTCCACTTGTCGACTGCCCAAACCACGCTCATCAACTCCAGCTTGCTTGAATGATAGTGAGTCTCAGCCACGCCTAGCTTCTTACTGATGCAGTAGACAATTTGTAGGGGTGCTCCCTCCTCAGCACTCTGTAGCAGCATGGCTCCTAGTCCCACAGCGCTCGCATCTGTATGAACTTCCGTAACCGCTGCTTTCGGATTGAACATACAGAATATTGGTGTGTCCACAAAAATCCTTTTCAGCTCTTCGAACGCAGCCTGTTGAGATGTGGACCACTCGAACTCGGCTCCCTTCTTCGTCAATCTGGTCAGGGGTTCAGTTAGGGTAGCATAGTTTCTAACAAACCGCCTGAAGAAACCCGTGAGCCCTAAGAATCTTCGAATTGCATGGACATCTTTCGGAGTAGGAAACTCTTC